GTGGTTCTTCATAGGTGATTCTAGATTGCTTCTTGTCGGCAATTAAAGCTAAACACCACGTGCCAAGAAGACATTGGTAACCAAGTAATCATACCATAGCTATATTCAGAGAACTGGATTTTCAAAAAATCGCCCTTTTTTAAGAGTATAATATAATTACATAATTTGTCTATTCTCTTCATTCCCCCCAAGTCTCAAAATATACCTCACCAGCTCGCTCTCAAACCCAGGACCTCTCTTTTTATTAATGGTTTTTACAAACATTAAAAAACTTTTTTTCTTAAATTTTTTTGTCTTTGTACAAAAGTAACAGCTCCTTAATCCGGTGAAAAGTTTCATGAGTGAGCAGTGGGATTCTCTGAACAGCTGGATGTTTCTATTTCCTGAGTATCATCTGTTTTCTTAATTTTTGAAGTGGGTTTTTCTTTAAGTAGTTTTTGCAAGCAAGCAAAGCAACACTTGCATCTTTCTTTGAGTTGCTGCGATACCACGGGGCTTTCCAGAACGGAATGCCACCTGGTCCATCCTAAATTCTGTCACGCATAGAGCAAGCTGGGCTAAGTGAATAAAGTGGCAGATCCTTAATTACCACAGAATGGGGCCTAATTGCTTTCCTGCCAGCTTTACTTTACCACGGACCAGGGAGATGGCGTTTGATTTTCAAGTGGGTTACATAAGCCAACCTCTCAGCGCTGGGAGGCCAACGTTGTCAGCCTGCGCTCTGATGGAGATCCTTCGGGCTCGTGGGCTCCCAGTGTAGCTGTGTGTGTGTGTGTTGACTGCTGGCATGTAGTGTCTTCCCTGGCCCGATGTTCCAACACAGCTGCTCTTAATATTGCAATGGCAGGAGCCACCGTTCCCCAGAGACTGCCCTTAAACTCAGTCCTCCAGGAGGAGACAAAAGGTACCAGACTCGGCAATGTCATCAAAATAGAAAGTGAAGCACTTATGTCATAATAGTTTCAATCTGTGAACTCAACTTGATCTCTAGTTTTATTAAAATTCAATAGTTCTACCGGCCTCGAAAACCGCCGCAATAGAGATTTTGAAATCTACTCTTTGTCAAGAAAGGGAGGTTAGCTTCAAATGTTTTAGAAATAGGCCTGCACCATGGGTAAGAAACAAGTCATAGGGGTTATTTTTTTGTTTTATTTTGTAAGTTTTTGCTGTTTTTACTCATTTTTCTCTAAGATGCCAGACTGCGGAGAAAATGACAGACCAAGAGTGAAGATATAGCACTGTTTAAATTATTTCTCTAATTTAGCATTGAAATATTAGAAGATTTTAAAATACATATACTTTTATCTTGAAATTTTCCAGATTTACTTTTAGCAGAATTACCAATGGCATCACTACGGTTGGTGGTTATGTTGAGTTATTGATGTGGGAGTGTCATATATCAATCTGTTGATTTCATTGGTTAAGCAATAAAGGAACTCCTTGGCCCTGATAGGTTAAAAGATGGATGGGAGGAGTAAACAGAATAGAATTCTGGGCGGAAGAGGAAGTGAGGAGAGACTCTGCTCTGCTCCCTGAGAGACCCGACAGCTCTGCTGGAGCAGAGACACCAAGATGGACGGAGGCTAGACTCTTCCCGGTAAGCGCACCTTGGGGTGCTTACACACATCATTAGAAATGGGCTAGTCCAGGTGCGAGAATTAGCCTGTAAGGGTTAGAGTTCATGGGCCAAGCAGTTCTTAAATGAATACAGTTTGTGTGTTGTTATTTCGGGCATAAGCTAGCCACATGGCCGGGGTGTTGGGGACGCAGCCCCGCCGCTCCTATTTTAACAAGTTATCTTTTCTGTTTCTATACTACATGAATTTGCTTTTGTACTTGGACTCTCCAAGTTAGAAAGGGAAGGACAGTGGAACAGCATTTACTTAATGTGCCAAAATTATCAGAGACAAGAATAACCACATATTACCTGTCAGAATGGTTGCCAATTAACTTTTGAAAACACTTAAACCTCTAGTTCTCTTCATGAAGCAAAGGGAAGAAAATATAGAGATGTGGTAAATGGAATTAGGTAGAGTCTCTCTCTCTCTCTCTCTCTCTCTCTCTCTCTCTCTCTCTCTCCCCTTCTCCCTCTCTCTTTCCTTCTTCCCCCCTCTCATGTGTGTGTGTGTGTCTGTGTGTTCACTGGAAAAGACAATGGCTTGATTTTAATGTATTATTCTCGTTAATATTGAGTAATTCAATAAGATCAGTGAAGTCGCTCTACATGAAGGGAAAAATTGCCTTCTTGGTAGGAATTTCCCTTAGTGTCCATTTTTGTAGCTTAGAAATGGTCATAGGCACTGTATTTTTTCCACTGGCATTTTGTATAAAGAAACAGTAAAATTAGTGGTGAACAGAAAGATTTGGCATAGAAGAGCTATCACATAATAGAAAGAGACCCGAGAAACAAACTATCTAAAACAGATAGCAAAGCCTGGGGAGAAGCAGGCGAATCCAGGAAGCTGCTTCCATCTCTGTAGAACCTGGTAGAGATGAGAGGCATCATCTAGGGAAAACACAGAAGACACGCTCTACTGACAGCTGGAAGGGAAACCTCGCACTGGGAAGGGGAAACTTGGCCTCTTTCTAATTAGTGGGTTCAAATCTCCTCTCTGTGTGTCCACTGAACTCATGTGACATTGTAGAAAAACAAGAAATCTGTATGTGTTCAATTTCTGTGGTTCCTGTCCCAGAGCTCCTAAATGTCCTGAGAGGTAGTCTCCAGACTCCTGTCTTCTGTTATTCATAATAAGCCCCTTTCAACAATACAAATAATTATGCAAAAGAATAATTCTCAGTAAACGGGGACCAGATGGCGAAAGAACCACCCTGTGATGAGATTAGAACTTTTAACTCTGAGACTCTTCATCCTGATAGGGGAAAGGACTGGATGTTGGATTAATAACTAGTGATCAATGACATCATCTGTCATGCGGATGAGAGACATTAGGCAGAAAAAACAGAGACCCCAAAGAGAAGACAGAGACACCAGATAGAGTTTGGAGGGCAACCCAGTGAATTCTGAGTCCACTCACGTTTACTTCTCCTAAGTTTTAAATACCCCAGTCCAAAGAGGAGGGAGAAGACATCAAGTAACCACACCCTAGGTCAAAACATCCTGTTAGTAGCCGCGTCCTGGGTCAAACGTCCTGTCAACAACCCTGAAGGAACAAGAATAGGCCTGAACTCTCTGATCTTTATCAAGGTCTGTGGGCTCCAAGACTTGCTTAAAGGTGAGCCACGCCCCACCAAAAAAACATAAAGAAAACTTCCAGGTTGGTGAATACGTGGGGATAAAGGCAGACACTACTTATAATTGGTACCTGAAGTAAAGATATTCATTGGCATTGTGTCCTTATTTCATGGATTCACCCTAGCGTCTCATGGAGTCGTAGCTGAACTGCAGAAGTCCAGGTGTATCCAGACTGTTGGAGATTTACTGTGTGGGAGAAAAGTTCCTGGGAATCAGTGAAGAGGAGAGAGGACCAGAGTAGAGTAGGAGCTAAGTTTGGGGGATAAAAAGAAGCCCACTAGTATTAAGGAAAAACGTTTACCCTTTAGGCTCTCAGGGAGGTTGTCTTGTTAATTTAAGAAAGGGTCTCACGTAGCCTACTCAGGCCTCAAACTTATGCTGTAGCTAGAACGGGTTCAAACTCTTGATGACCGACTCTCCCGCGGCCCTCCCCAAATGCAGGGAATATAGGTAGGCACCATAGAGCTGGCTTCCTTGGAAAACACTCTTTCACTGACCATCAGAGGGAAATGTTTCTTCCTTCCCAGTCTCAGAATAATTATACATTGCTCTTATAAGCTAGTAGGTGGCATGTTTGGTATCCTTAGAAAATGTCACTCATCCATCTGAAGGTGTTTCTCCAGATTCCTTTAGTTTGGTTTAAGTTATAACATTCAATAACAGCCAGATTTCATTTCTATCATCTTCCTAGATTTGGGGGATATAAAGTTTTAGTCAGAGCTGTTTCTGAAGTCAGAAACACTCACCTTGAAGAGCTTAGCTAGTCTAGGGAGGGAAAGCATGGCAAGGTCGCTCTAGTGGGATGCTCTGTAAGCAGCAACCCCCGGCCCTTTAGGTAAGCAACCTTGTGTACACAGTGACAGACAACTCCATATTCTACTTGAGCTCCCTGGAAAGGGGAAGGCTTGGAGAATTTTTGTGAGGCGGGATAAAGATACAATGACTATAATCAGCTCGTACTTTTATCGTCTTTCCTGTCATATGTATAAATTACCAGTTAGAAATAGAATGGCGTAGGCTCTGTCATACCAGCCCCTCCTGATGAGAGGTAGCTGTTCCATAGGGTTAAAAGTAAAGACAAGACTGCCACATGACAATTGACTGAGAAGCCTCACCTTCTATGACGGTTAAGGTATAATTTTCTATGTATCCTTTGGAAAACAGCTTTATCTACTCCACCCAGGGTAGAGAAAGTGGAGAAGCCTTCTTTCCACTGAAGGTGACTTCGTTCCGTGGATCTCATGCCCTGCACACCTACTATCTGTTCTGACAGTCAGGACAACTGCACGATGAACAGAGACAGAAATGGCAATAGAGAACAGAAACTTTAAGTAATAGTCTTAGAAATCTCAGTAACGTAGGACATTTTGAGGGCAAACCAGTGAGTCAGATCCCTCATAAGTTAATAGTGCATAGGTTGTTGAAGGAACATATTGTTTAGCATATGTATACAGACATAATTACTTCTGTTTTTCTTTGAGGAAGAACTTTTAATATAAAATTACAATCCAAAGTATCTTAAGCAGATAAATTAATTGGTAAAGTAAAATTCTATTTAGAATTACAAAGATAAACATAAAGTCTCAATGTGGAATTTTCTTCAGCCCTTCTCTCTCATCCCACGTACAAAACCCAGCTATCTGAAAATTGGCTAATTAGCCCATGAGAAAACAGAAGCAACGGATCTTGGTTCCCTGTGATAACTTCCCTCCCATTAATTTATAAATGACATTTTGTGCTTTTTAAAAGCTTAACTTTGTGTTTCAAATTGGTCACTTTGACCTTTCTTAATAACATCAAAGTTTATATAAAATTTCAACCCCCTTGTGTCTTCATCAAAATCTTGAATGAAATATGATACAAACTTGTTGCCAGTTTTATGAAAGATTGAAAGGGGAAATTCATTTCTTACTCCTTATCCTGCCATTCTCGATCATGCTAAACAGTTTTTTTTTTTTCTGGAAGATTTCTACTTGACTTTCTTGTAGTGTCTGCCTGATGACAAAGACTGCATACTCAAAAGGAAACTGGCATTTTGCAATAAGCCCAGAAAATTAGATTTTTGAACTATTAGGAACAATAAAAAAATCAAGCATTTTATGAAGTATGCCAGGCTCAGAATTATGTAGTTCTTTTTATTTTTTGAAAAGCTTTGAACATTCCCAGTGACAGCAAATGAGGACAATTTTCTCAAGCTTTGTGTATATTCACAGAGCTGTGTATGAGTTTCCTGACATTTAATTCTTAGACTCACCCATTTTGTTGAACCTTCTTATTATTGCAACATTCCATGACATCAATACTGATGATTCTGTGCAATAATTTATGAATGGTACAAAGAAATGAATATTATTAACACGGTAAATACTTTCCTGATTGTTTCTTTGGTCTTTAAGACCTAGAGTTATATGCTTTTCATTTTTTTGTTAAAATTGGACATCTTAAGTACTTATTTAGTTTAGGAAATTAAGCAGGGGAGACTCGACTTATTCATGACAGTCACCCAAACAGGAACAGGTTTTATTCCACAGTGTGCTAATACAAACCACTTTCTTAAACATAAATTAGAGCAGTATTCAAATCCAGCTGAACTGATGCAGCTCTTCATGTGGATGCCATCCAGGGCAGAAGCCATGGGCTGATGCCAATTTGCTGACTGTTATTTGTCCACAAGCAGACAGTCTAAGAGTTCTGCCGGAGTCTTGTAGCAGTTTGTCACTCTCGTGTCCAAATGCATGATCTAGTCGTTTATTTGTAGTTTCCTACAAAGATGTCAGTCTGGCAGGAACCAGAAACGTGAGCCTCCCACACCTCACCAGAAAGCATGGGCAGCTCTTCTCTGGTGCTGTGTGTGGCTGCTGAAGACTCCAGGGTGGGAGGGTGGTAGTAGATGCTCTGGTGGTGGGGGGTGAAGAAAGAGAGAAGGGAGACAGACAGAACTTAAACACCAAGCCACAGATAAAGCTAAACAAAGAGAAGACCCCAAACTCACATTCCTAGGAAAGATTAACTCACCTTCTTGTTGTCCCCAGTGGTTAAGAATTTTCAGTTTTAGTCTTCTTTTAGATACAGATGACAGAAGCCAAACTCAGAATAGCTTGGATAGGACAGAGACTATGCGTGAGGGATGGTGGAAAATGACTCCCTGGACTCAACGCTTTTAATGTGAAGCTAATCATAGAGAGTCAATGAATTTGGAGTCGCATTGTCACCTTTCTTATGTATCCACTTATACTGTGCCCCTCCTTATCTCAGCTCTCAAATGGTTTAGGATCGCTCTACTCACCCACAAAGAGGGCTGTGCCATGTGGGGCAGAGGAAAATTGGCTTTATTCAGTGTGGAGTTAATATCCTCCCTTAGCTACTTTAATGATTCTCCTTTGACAGTCATACATAAAATGCTAAAGGAGTAGTCAGTGGGCTAGTACTGTGCAGTCTGGGACCATTTATCACACCCAGTAGGGATACTGGGAACATATACTGAGTTTTTAACATACAGCCCATACTCTTCTTCATTCAAACTTCCTGGCTGTAGATGAACAATGACCAGTCAACCCCTCACTTTCATTCCCGTGCTTTTCTACCTACCTCCATGTCTTGATGCAGTGATGGACTGGATCCTTCCACACTGTATTGATGACAGGGTAGACTGTATCCTTCACACTGTATTGATGCAGTGATCGACTATATCCTTCTATACTGTATTGATGCAGTGATGGACTGTATCCTTCCACACTGTACTGATGCAGTGATGGACTGGATCCTTCCATACTGTATTGATGCAGTGATGGACTGTATCCTTCCACACTGTATTGATGCAGTGATTGATTATATCCTTCCGCACTGTAAGACAAAGTAAGCCTTTCATCCTTAAGTTACTTATTGCCAGGTATTTTCTTATTTTTCAACAAGCAAAGTGACTAAGACACACTCTATCCCATGGTGATGGGTTGAAATCTCTGAGCAATACAAATCTTCCCTCTTTTTTTTCCTTCTTTTAATTTTATTTTTAAAATAATCTTATTTTCCAGTTCCCTCTCCCTCCCATGCTTCCATTTCCTCTATCTTATTCCCACCCAACTCCCCATCC